CACAGGGTGTCTGTTGTGGGGAGGGGAAGGGAAAGGAGTTTGTAAGCCGCTCTGAGACTCCTTTGGGTAGTGAAGGGCGGGTATAAATCCATTCTCTTCTTATTATTCCATGCTATTTCAAGCTACTTAAAACACCTTACGACCCCTCATTACAGAACAGCATTAATGCTTGCTCGATTAAATTATTTGTCCTCAGCCATACTGGAAGGCTGATTCACAGGCACAGTGTATTTGGACAGAGCTTGTAAATGTGGATCTGGTCATCTTGAGTCCTCAGAACCTATTGCATTGGAGTGTGAAATCTGGCCTGATTTGACCAAAAGGTATTTGCCCTCCCTCTTAACAGGTTATGTGAATTTGCCATCTATTTAAAAAAATGTTTTTTTTTGTACATGAGGATCGGAACACTACCATAGCAGTTGCTAAATATTTAGCTGCCTGCATTGATTGCCTGTAAGAGGGTTGTATCTCAATCTGTTCAAGACCTTTGAGACGAAAGAACAGTAAGATAAGAAGGAAAGGCACTAAAAATAAACAAAGCACAGCACTGCCGTTATATAATTCCATGCTGCATCTACACAGAATACAGCCCTGACCCCCTTATGCCTCCCCCCAAAAGTAATCTCTGCAATATAAAAGAAAACGCACAACTGGAAGCCCGATCAAAAGTTGAGTTAAGAGTACCTTAGACCATACAATCAGATTGTACTATGACTTTAGAGAAGGTGTGTGTTCCCGTTTCGGGGGGGGGGAGGCTTGAGAAAACCACCTTTTATGTTAAGAAAAAAGAACCGGGTGGTTAGATATCACAGAGATTTATGAGAAGATGAATGAATAAAAAAATCACTCTTTCATTTCTTAAAAATGTTAGAACTAAGGGTTGTCCAGTGCAGTCAATAACTAGGCAGTAGATTCTGCCTAGCAGGTATTTGAAGGCTGTGGAAGGTCGGTAGTTCAGCAGTTTGAGACCCGGGTGCCGCATGACGGAGTGAGCTCCCGTCTCTAGTTCCAGCTCCTGCCAACCGAGCAGTTCGAAAGCAAGAAATTGCAAGTAGATAAATAGGTACCACTTCGGTGGGAAGGTAACAGCGTTCCGTGCGCCTCGGTGTTTCGTCATGCTGGCCACATGACCACAGAAACGTCTTCGGACAGCGCTGGCTCTTCGGCTTGGAAACGGAGATGAGCACCGCAACACTAGAGTCGGATTCGACTGGCTTTCGAGCAAGGGAACCTTTACCTTTTTATAATTGAACTCATTTATTTTTCGGATTTTTATTCTGCCCTCCCCATGTGGCTCAGGGCTGGTTACAACAAACAGAGTCAAAGATGTATTACAATAAAATCGCACATCATTAAAATCATTAAAACAGTAACATTCAGAGGTAGCAGCAAATTACATAAATGAAAAGACTGTGATGTGCTATATAGATGAAGTCAGAACATTTCAAGATTCACTTATATTTTGAAACACGAGATCCATCCTCAGCACGGGAACACACAGTGGCCAGAAATACCAGGTGCCCTCAGGAGGTCCAGCAGTGGGGCCAGGACACTAGAAGCCCTCCCACTGTTGCCCCCCTCCCAAGCACCGAGAATACAAAGCGTCCTTTGCCCCAGACTGAGAGTTCCTATCTATAAAAGGTAAAGGTTTCCCTTGCTCGAAAGCCAGTCGAATCCGACTCTAGGGTTGCGGTGCTCATCTCAGTTCCCAAGCCGAAGATCCAGCGCTGTCCGAAGACACTTCCGCGGTCATGTGGCTGGCATGACTAAACGCCAAGGCGCACAGAACGCTGTTACCTTCCCACCGAAGTGGTACCTATTTATCTACTTGCAATTTCTTGCTTTCGAACTGCTAGGTTGGCAGGAGCTGGAACCAGAGACGGGAGCTCACTCCACCTTGTAGCTAATAGCCACTGATGGACCTCTGCTCCCATATGTTGATCCAATTCCCTCTTGAAGCTGTCTGTGCTTGTAGCCGCCGCCACCTCCTGTGGCAGTGAATTCCAGGAGTTAATCACTCTTTTTGGGTGAAGAAGGACTTCCTTTTTATCCGTTCTAACCCGAGTGCTCAGCAATCTCATTGAATGCCCATGAGCTCTTGTATTGTGAGAAAGGGAGAAAAGTACCTCTTTCTCTATCCCATGCATAATCTTGTAAACCTCGATCATGTCACCCCTCAGTCGTCGTCCAGGTGGGGCCTGGAGATCTCCCACTATTACAACTGATCTCCAAACAACAGAGTTCAGTTTCCCTGGGAAAAATGGCTGCTTTGGAAGGTGGACTCAAAAGCCCAATAGGAACTCCTTAGCATAATAGGCCACACCCAACAGCAGAATCTCATTAGCATATTAGGCCACACCCACATGCATTCAAGCCCCCACCTTGAAGGGAAGGCACGGGGAGGCATTTAAATGCCTGATCCTTCCAGGGTCCCTCCTGGCCCGCCCGCCTTGGAGTTGTGTGTGGGGGGGTTTCGCTCACGCACGCAGAGGTTTTGGCTGCAGTGGGCGTGGCCAACTCTGAAGCCAGCCGGAACTCCGTTCCTGTGTGTTCCTGTCCAAAAATAGCCCTGACTCTATGGCTTTGCTGATGAGGGCCCTCCCCTCCCCAGGTGCCACCCCTAAAATCTTCAGGCTTTTCCCAACCAGGAACCCTAGAACTTCCCCGAGAATGTTCAAGGTTGCGAAACTGGCTCATGGGGGAAGCACACCATAGTTCCAGTCTGAACTGGCTTCCATGCACCTAAGGATGACCGTCACAGGTGCACTTCCTGCTTGCCGGCCCCCGGAACCATGTATCATGTTGTTAGGCCCTAAGATGCACCAGGAGGCTGATGGGAGCAAAGAGCTTATGCCTGGCAGACAAGGTGGGGTGTGGCTAGTGGGGGGCGAAAGAGTCTGGCGGTGGCACTGAATGGCCGGAGATGTACAACCGGAGGTTCTCAAGTCGAGCATGAAGTGGCATCTCGGATGCTTCTGCTTCCCCGAGCGTGTGTTAAGTGCCATCAAGCCACCGTATAAATTGATATCCTCCAAGGCGTCCTCTCATTCTCCCAGCACTTTATCTTTTCCCGTTTCGAATTGTCTCATCGTAGGGTTTTTGAGACAGTCAGGAGTGGTTCACCACTGCCACCTTGTGCGCTGTACTAACCAAGGTTAGCTGACGTCGCACTGGCACTGCCTATGAAAGATCCTCCACCAGTTTTATAGTTCGTGATGTTTGAAAAAAGCAAAGAACATCTTGCAGGACTTGTCACATCCCTGGACATTCCCTGTTTGAACTGCTGCCTTCGGGCAGAAGATATAGGACAATTAAAGCAAGGACAAATAGATTAAAAATAGTTTTTATTCGAGAGGTATTATTGCCTTAAATGCTGTATTAAATTGGAATTGGGTGACATTGGTGGTTTTAAGTTGTTATGTGAACCTTAAGGGAGTTATGGGACAGTAGTGAATGGTGTGTGAGTGTATATGAATATTGTTGTAGATCACCAAAATGACTGCATCTTTCATTTCGTTGTACTATGTACAATGACAATAAAGTATATTATTATTATTATTATTGACCTTCCACTGCTGCTGCAACCTTGCCTAGTAGCCACCCTTCAAGGATTGCTCTCAGCTTCCCCTAGAGACCCCAGGGAAAAGGCTAAAGCCATGAAACCTGAAGCCATCCTATGGACTACCCTAGCGCCTTCCCCAAGTTTTTTTTAAAAAGCGATTCCCCTGTTCCCCAATGCCTTGCTTCCTGCAGCTACAGGCGTAGAGTAGAGTTTCCTCAGAAGTAAGGAGACTCCTCACTAGGATTACCAGCTCTGAGTCGGGAAATACCTGGAGGTTTTGGGGGTGGAGCCAGAGGATGGCAGGGTTTGGGGAGAGGAGAGACTTCAGTGCCATAAACGCCACCTTCCTAAGTGGCCATTTTCTCCAGGTGAATCGATCTGTGTTGCCTGAAGATCAGTTGTAATAGCAGGTGACCTCCAGCTACCGCCTGGAGGCTGGCAAGCCTACTCTCTTCACATATGCACCCCGGGTGCATTTTCCTAGGAACGCAAGGAGGGTAAAACGGCTTCCTTTGCTCTATTTCTACGCAGTAGAGAGCCAGTTTGGTGTGAGAGCCAGTTTGGTGTTGTGGTTAAGTGTGCGGACTCTAATCTGGGAGAGCCGGGTTTGATTCCACACGCCTCCACTTGCACCTGCTGGAATTCCTTGGGCAAGCCATAGTTCTGTCAGAGCTGTCCTTGAAAAAAGAGCAGTTTCTCTCAGAGCTCTCTCAGCCCCACCTACCTCACAGGGTGTCTGTTGTGGGGAGGGGAAGAGAAAGGAGTTTGTAAGCCGCTCTGAGACTCCTTTGGGTAGTGAAGGGCGGGGTATAAATCCAATCTCTTCTTCTTTTTCAGTACAGAGCTGAGGCGCAGAAATGCATCCGCTAAGCTCCACGATGGGCAAAGCTGCACCCTCTGAACTAGTAAAGGTTTCCCTTGCTCGAAAGCCAGTCGAATCTGACTCTAGGGATGCACTGCTCATCTCCGTTTCCAAGCTGAAGAGCCAGCGTTGTCCGAAGACATTTCCGTGGTCATGTGGCCATGACTAGACGTTGAGGTGCACGGAACGCTGTTACCTTCCCACTGAAGTGGTACCTATTTATCTACTTACAATTTCTTGCTTTCGAACTGCTAGGTTGGCAGGAGCTGGGGCCAGAGACGGGAGCTCACCCCGTCATGCAGCACTCGGGTCTCGAACTGCTGAACTACTGTCTGTCTATTCCAGGCCCATGACAGCAAAAAAATGAATATCCACATGGCAACCCTGAAGGCGCCGGCGGCTCTTCAGTGCCAAGCTCTCCCTTCTTTCCAAAGTTTCCCCTCGAGAGTCCTGCCGAACAAGAAACTACCTTCCCCACAATCCTTCGCCCTTCTAACCAGGACGGAACCTTTTTTTGCGGGGTCGCGGCATCTGAATCACGCGGGGGAAAGATTATTAGACCGGACTATTTCCGGCGCGGACCGGAAGCGACGCTTCTAGCCTCCCGGGAGGCGGGATGGCGGCTCGAACAGCACTGCTGCTTCTCCTGGGGGCGGCGGGGGCAGGCCCGGCCCCCGCAAAAGGGTCGCGGGGAGACCGGGAGCCCGTCTACCGAGACTGCTTGGCCCATTGCGAGAAGCGCAACTGTTCAGGGGCCGGGCTGCGGCACTTCCGCTCCCAGCAGCCGCTCTACATGAGCCTCACAGGTACCGAACGGCTCCGCCAAGGGAGGGCCACGCCCACAAGCCGGGGGGACCACCGAAGACTCCGTCTTTTGCATAGCCACGCCCATAAGGGGGGGCAGCGTCCCGCCCAGTTTCCCTGGCGCCGCCTCTGTGGCTCCTCCCATGCACTGCCTTTGACGTGCGGCAGAAGGGGGTGGGGTGGAGCGTCTGCGCATAAGCAGAGTGCATTTGCAAAATCAGTAGATGATGCTTTCTTCTGCCGCTGCTTCTTATGTTTTAAAAGCTCGGTAGGAAGGCCTCTAGGGCAAAGGGGTTCCCCAGCAAGCACGAGGACCTGTGTTTTTTATTTCAGAAACTGAACACGAGCGCTTCCTTCTCCTTAATTCGAGCCCTAGCTGGTTAGGTTCCACTTCCTATACATGCTTATTCCTTTGCAAGGAAGGAGCCATCGCTCAGTGCGCTTTGGGTCAATGCTCCCTCTAGGCCGTGGAGTCCTGTGAGCGAAAAATCTGCTTTGTGAGCTTCTGGCATTAAAGTTGTGAGCGAGCGATTTGGCTCCTGCATAAATGAGTTTGCTCTGGAGCCCTCCTTCCCGAGCTAAGGCAAAAAAACTGTGAGCTAGCTCACATTAACTCAGCTTAGAGGGAACACTGGCTAGGTGCCCAGTGGTTTCAGTCCTTGCATCTCCAGTTAAGGGCTCTGGGGTAGAAAGTACTGGGAGACACCCATTTCACTTTTAAGGCTCTGGAGAGCTGCCGCCAGCCAGAGCAGATTGCACTGAGTTACGATGGAACAACAGTCTGACAGGGTAGATGGCAGCTTCATATACCTTAAATTCCACTTTCTTCAATTTATTTATATCTCTGAATGAAAACCCAAAGGAGCTTACTGCATCTTTCTCCTCTCCTCCGTTTTATCCTCACTACAACCCCTGTGATGTAGATTAGGCTGAAAGAGAGAGCTACTGGCCTAAAGTCACCTAGTGAGCCTCCATGGCAGAACAGGGATTCAAATCTTGTTCTCGAGTTTGACACTGTAACTACTACACCAGACTGGTTCAGTGAAGTTTGTTTCCAAGGAAAGTTTATAGGACTCTTGCTTCAAGCATCTTGCCTCTGTCTTGGGAGGAAAGCGATGGCGAACCTCAACAGCCTGATAAAAAGTAGAGACATCACCCTGCCAACAAAAGTCCGCATGGTCAAAGCAATGGTATTCCCAGTAGTCATGTATGGCTGCGAGAGTTAGACTATAAGGAAGGCCGAGCGCCGAAGAATAGATGCTTTTGAACCATGGTGCTGGAGAAGACTCTTGAGAGTCCCTTGGACTGCAAGAAGATCAAATCAGTCAATCCTAAAAGAAATCAACCCTGACTGTTCCCTGGAAGGCCAGAGACTGAAACTGAAGCTCAAATACTTTAGCCACCAAATGAGAAGGGAGCACTCACTGGAGAAGACCCTGATGCTGGGAAAGATTGAAGGTCAAAGAGGACGGGGACGGCAAAGGATGAGATGGTTAGACAGTGTCATAGATGCAACGAACATGAAATTGAGCCAACTTCAGAGTACTGTGGAAGACCCGAAGGCCTGGCGTGATCTGGTCCATGGGGTCGCGAAGCGTCGGACTTGATTGTGCGACTGAACAACAACTCTGTCTTATCCGTCGCTTATCCCGTGTCTATGCATCTAAACTTTGGCTAGCAAATCACAAATACATTTGTTTCTGAGGAAACCACAAGAGATATTAAATGGTGTTTCTGAAATAGTTAACATATTTGTGTTTTTACCTTTTGTGGTCCCAAGCAGATTAACACTTATCCAGAAACGTGTTCTTAATATTTTAAAAACAAAACATTACTAGCCTTAAGTTTCTTCATCAGTTCAGCCCCAAATGACTTGCCAGAAGGAAAGGGAAAAGATGTCATAAGAAAGAAAGGATAGCTTATTACTTAAAATAAAATATGCCTAGTAATTCTGAGCCATTCATTTCAAAATGACCAAATACTTTGTAAGACCAGAGTTGCTCACGCAAAGTGATTACTATACAAGACAGTCCACAGCATTAGGAGATGATTATTCTTGAGTATAATATGTTAGTTTAAATGTGACTAATTTTGTCAATATGCCTTAAGATGTATGATGATCATATACTCCTGAAAAGTTTGATGTTTTTGGAGTCCCATCTCTAAATATGGTAATAGTCTGTTGTAGCTGAGACCATTTCTGTCTAAGCGATACCCTGTTTTTTGGATTGCTACAAAAATTGTCTTTCCGATTTTCAACTCCTCCCTTCCCACCACTTTTCTGTTTTGGAATGAGGGAAATACTTTGTAAGACCAGAGTTGCTCACTCAAAGTGATTACTATACAAGACAGTCCACAGCATTAGAAGATGATAATTCTTGAGTATAATATGTTAGTTTAAATGTGACTAATTTTGTCAATATGCCTTAAGATGTATGATGATAATATACTACTGAAAAGTTTGAGGTTTTCGGAGTCCCATCTCCAAATATGGTGCTATTCTATTGTAGCTGAGACCATTTCTGTCTAAACGATACCCTGTTTTTTGATTGCTACAAAAATTGTCTTTCTGATTTTCAACTCCTCCCTTCCCACCACTTAGATGGCAAAAATGAAGGTACGTGTGTAGTACTGGGTGCAGCAGTTTGCCCCTCTCTTTTTAAGTGTTGGGTATATTTGCAGTCTTTCTTACAGAAAACTAAGGCTTTTATCATTTTTTTTCATAAACATGCCAAATGGTATAATTGTACAGGCTCACTTAACTATAAAGGATGCATTCCGTGTTGTTAAAACAGCAGAATAACTTTAGACTTGATAAGAAAGTAAGTATTGCACACATTTTGAATTTTTCCTAAAGATTTCTGAGTTTTGTCAAGATGCTTCAAAATTTCCGAATATCTTACGTCTTTAGGCATTATCCAAATGACTCCCCCCTTTTTTCTCTCTCAATACATGTTTTAGGATGGACTTGCAGAGATGATTGTAAATATGAATGTATGTGGCTTACTGTGGGCCTTTACGTCCAGGAAGGATACAGAGTGCCTCAGTTTCATGGAAAGGTGAGCACTACCCATGAGTTGAGCAGTTAGGCAACACAGGTGTTTTTTGGTTGATACCTGTCTCTGTGAGTTAACACCTTCCCCTACCACATGGTCTATGGAAGGTTGTCTTTTGAATCCTCCCCAAGGCATTTACTGTTGAGACCCTTGGTGGTCTTGTAGAAGTTTTTTTCCTCAGCGCACTCTATACATTCCATGACCATTGTCCATTTTCCCTGACCCTACTCAGGAATCTCCAGAATAAAATCCTTTAAGAAGAACCCTCCTGGATCAGACCTGTGGTCCATCTTGGAAGGTTGTCTTTTGAATCCTCCCCGAGGCATTTACTGTTGTTGTTGTTGTTGTTTTGAGACCCTTGGTGGTCTTGTAGAAGCTTTTTTCCTCAGCACACTCTATACATTCCATGCCCATTGTCCATTTTCCCTGAACCTACTCAGGAATCTCCAGAATAAAATCCTTTAAGAAGAACCCTCCTGGATCAGACCTGTGGTCCATCTAGTCCAGCATCCTGTCTCACACAGGGGCCAACCAGTTCCTCTGGAGGGCCAACAACAGGGCATAGAGACCGAGGCCTTCATAAGAGCATCAGAAGAGCCCTGCTGGATCAGACCACCTTGTCCAGCATCCTGTCTCACACAGGGGCCAACCAGTTCCTCTGGAGGGCCAACAACAGGGCATAGAGACCGAGGCCTTCATAAGAGCATCAGAAGAGCCCTGCTGGATCAGACCACCTTGTCCAGCATCCTGTCTCACACAGGGGCCAACCAGTTCCTGAGGACGGCCAACAACAGGGCAGAGAGGCCGAGGCCTTCCCCTGATAACATAAGAAGAACCCTGGGGGATCAGACCAGTGGTCCAGCTAGTCCAGCATCCTGTCTCACACAGGGGCCAACCAGTTCCTCTGGAGGGCCAACAACAGGGCATAGAGACCGAGGCCTTCATAAGAGC